AATTATGGACTTTTGTTCAGGTAAACATGAGATTAAATGAACTTAAATATTATCCAGATGGACCATAAGCAAATCGCCATAGGAAAAATAACTGCATTTGTCAGGCGTTACAAATGGAGTGACGTTATAATGTAAGTATTTACCCGATGTGTCCAAAATAATACAAAAACAGGAGTCAATATCACAAATCAATGACATTTGCGTGATAATGTTTTCAGCCAATGAGGACGTAGAGGAACATGATACCATGTAATACATAATGCGGGCCGACCTTTTTTTTTCTTGTGTATAATGACGACGTGTGGTGGTATGATTTTGTTTTTATTGGAGACGACTTCAGAATAAGACTGTGTTAGCTATCTTTATCTATATATAGATTAAGACTATATATAGTTTAAGAACGTGAATGCAAATGTGTACAGTGTGATATGAACTTAAAACAAGGAAGATTCTAGCACATACATGTATGTTATTGTGGAAAGATCCAATTCTATTGATATTTCTATAATGCTAATTATTTTCTATTAATATATTTTCATGCATATTCTCAATTATTGCTTCATGAAGAGATCAGATCTTTCTGCAATATCCTACAAAATGCTGAAAGCTTTTACAAAAATACGTCATGATAGGTATAATAAGAGTATAAATAAAGGGCAGAAGTCTAGAATTTAAATTACCAGCATACAGGAACAAAATATTCATGCAACCTAGACAAGAAAATAGCATTTAAAATTCATTGTATCGTACATTTATCATTCAAAAAAGTGGTATTGCAAGGTTTTTAGCGCATACCTGATGATTTGATGACAACATGATAATCTTCTTCTGATGAGGACACGAGACATAGAGGACCCCAGTCGCAGACACCGCCAGACTATCCACACGACCACGTGTATCAAACTGGTACACTCTCTCGTGTTTATTGTTGTACAAAGAAACCCACGAACACTTTTTGAAGGAAACATAGATGTAACCACCTTGTGTTGTCGCCAACCTTTCAACAGGTCCACACGATCTTTCACATGGACATGACAGCTCCACCCGGGCGTCTACTTTGATTACAAGCTTTTGAGATGTTTCGTCAGAGGTGTCTTTATCGCATTTAGTTATTTTACCCCACAGGTCTGTGGCCTTTGTTTTGATATTTCCAAAGCTTGACGATGCTCTGATATCAGGTTGATCATGTAATAGTGTACTTGATCTGTCTCTTTTTGTCCTCTTGTTGATATCGTCTATGCTCGTGGATTTTTTTATATCATGATTATCAGGTTCGATTACATTTAATTCATTATTGATATCCAGACCTTCCATTTTGTCTTCAAATTCCATGGAATTACATATATCGCTTTCGCTCACAGATCGCTGGAAAGACAATTTAGGATGATGCATGTTAAGTAGTCCTGGAGCTTTGTTTGAACTTATATCTTTTTGAAGCTGTTCTATTTGTTTCATTTCGTTTTCCAGTTCTCTGAGCTTTAAATACAAGTCTTGTTGTCTAAGTTTAGGCGTATCCAAAATATCGTCCTGTTCATCAGATTTAGTGTCACTATCCTGAATGGTTTCCATTGAGCTTATTGGATTCTTATCATCTAATGAATAGATACTATTAACTTGGAAGTAGCCATCAAAAAACGCACCGGACCTTACAGAACTTGCCGAGTCCGATGGATTCTCCATCGCGTTAAGTTTTGACGACTGTGACGGTGTATTCATGAAACGCGTTATTGATTCCGTAGAATCTATGACTTCAAAACTGTCACTTTGATTTTGATGTCTTTTTCTCGGCAGTGTTGGTAAATCGACACTGTTTGCGGGTTGTAAGGCATCAATACTTTCGCTACATGTACTAAAATCAGGTGTATAAAGTCTGGGTCTTGTGTCTGAATCCAAATCAGAAGATTTCTTGAACAAATCGCCAATAAAATACTTGTCAAGGCTGTCGGACATGTTTGTTTATAATCCAGAGTAAAACTTATGGTGTGTTTCGTCGGTTTCACAACTGCCACTTAGGTGTAATAGGGTACATTCTGGAATGATGTTATCGAATGCATTTCCAGTGCAGACATCCCAGCTTTCTGCTAATTGATTTGTGTCTTCATTGCCGTTTGGAAAGGTCATTAAGTTCACGGTTTCTGGCAGTCTGTATGGAATAGAAACACAGAAAATTAATCAGCAACATACTACATAAATTATGGTTACAGAATTTGTCTATAGGAGTTTAGAGTCTAAAACCTCAATTAAATATAGGAATTCATATGCATAATTCGGAAACGAGAACTTGTATTTTTGGTTATTATGTATTGTTTTAAGCATACATTAATCAAGGTTATCGTGTTTATGAACATTATGTAAACGTTATAAAATGTCTATCATTTTTTAAGGAAACAGAGTGCTTTGGTACGTTTTACTGAATTTGTAGATTTCTACTTTATTAAAACTAGAATGACGGACATGCACATTAAAATCAGCATACCAACAAACACATATTTGAGTTTTGGCGATCGGAAGTTTTCTTCATTCATAATCAATCAGGGGTATTCATGGATATGAGAGTAGTTATCTTTCCCCGACTAGGAGACATATGGTATACTAAAAGGAATACCAAACACTGACTTCTAATTGACTAACTCTGTATCACTTTTCATCTATAAACTGTTATCTATTAATGACAAATAAAACGTAATATAATATAAAAAATATAAAAACTAATAATTTTGAAACACAATTGCGATATTCGTGTTATGAGAGTGATTTCATAATTGTAAAATTACGCACAACATTTCTCCGAACTATTCTTACATTAAAAGATTTACAGAAGAAGAATAGTTTTCCCCTTAAAATCAATTTTAAGAGTCGTTTTCTGAATTATTGTATTAGTGATCCGTAAATTGTACCTTAACTTTTAACTTTACCACACTATCTTTCACTTATCGGTGATGACTCTCACTATGTATTTGTCTTTCCCTGTACTTAAGGCATTTATTTCTACACATTACCACAGTTTCCAAAACACTGTTAAATACACAAAACTATTTTGTACAATTTGTATGAAACTTTTAAAGAAGACACATATATTGAATATCTTAAATGAGTATTAATATATCGGTCTTTAACTACCTAAGATCAGTGTCATTTATTGTTTATAATGAGTATGGGTTGTATCGTTTGAAGCCTTCTACTTCTAATCCAATACCTTTTTTTACTACTAGTATTTACAGGTACCGTTTTATACATTATTTTATCTAACAAATATCGTCTATACATGAGATAGCACATCTTAATCACTCGTGACTTATGTTTTATATATGATATCATCTTTGCAGGCTTTTCTGTGATATATACACGAATACATTGCGGTCTTCGATCCTTCCCAACGGTACTTCTAAATGCCCCAAACAATACGATCTTGAACAAATCTTACTTCCACAAAGTTTGGCGATAGAATCATAAACGTATATGCCTGTCTCCTTAAATGGAATACCATCAACTATTATTTCATCAGTTTTCCATGAAAATAATAATTTAATTAAATGTATACGTCAGATTGTTTTTGAGAAAATATTTGTGAGTTAACATTCTCGTATAAATTCGTCGTGTATCGTTTTTATGGATTTTTTGTATGTTGTTGTTACTAGGTCGAAAATCACAACGGTATATAAGTTCGGATTTATTATAAAAGTATTTGAGTTAAATAATAAATATCTGACTGCTAATAATAGATTAGCGATTCAGTAGATCTCATTTTATTAATAACACAAAAAGTTTTCCGAAACGAACTCTTGACTTTTCGACAATTATTTACATTGTCGCTACTTTCTACACAAGACACCGACATATGGTTGCGATGCAATCATGACTATGGCTTTGAGTTCAAAATAAAGAGATTAAGCATCGAAAAAAGAAGAGAATGAAGCGTAGCGCAAGGGACCCTTGTAGGAAATTGTTTTTCCATACCCTTATATAGTTAATTATATACAGTAAAACACTTTTTGAAGCACAGAAAAGATATCGAATTTGTACTCCAAAATGAAACCCGTTGTAACTCCACAGGACCACTGAATTAGTTTTCTACAGTGAAACACATTAATACATACTGTTCTCCAGAGTAAAATGCTTTTATAGCAAACGTCTAGGGATTGATGAAATTAGTTTTCTACAGCTAAACACTTGTATAGCAAACCTTATGGGGCCTATACAATTCTTTTTCCACACACACCCCTCTATGTTTGAAATGTATTTCTTTTCAAGCACGATTTCGTACATGTAATAAATGTGCTCAAATGAAGTGGTTCCTTCTTAATGATAACTCGCAATGGAATGTTCCAGTGTTCCCATAAGGCACCACACTTACAAATATGTGAAACGTTCAGTAAGTTGCGTCTTCAATAAATCCTCTAACGTTTACTCCTACATATTTTGTATATTCGTTCTTTGCTTATTCAAAATAGTAGTATACTTTAGATTAATAGAAAAAAATGACATACCTGGGATTTGATTTTCTAGTTAGATGTTGTTATTCAGTAAGCTTCCCTTGAGTTGTCAATGGTTTTCTTGGAGGACGTGGTGGTGGGTGGTTCGAAACATCGTCAAGTAGGTCAGCATTGATATCCTGTATACCATCTTGTCTGGGGATAGCCATGTGTGGCGTTGTGTGGTTGAATATAATCACAAACATAAACTGATGTTCCCTTCCGCCAGTTTGCCATTGTTATACGATTTCTCCTGAAACGTCACTGCGACTTAGACATTATATTATCCTACCAAACTCCATATAATATTAATATATATGCCACGGAGTCAATGGCAGGAAAATACTACACGAATATGGGATTATAGTTAACAATCACACACCTCCAGATGTTTACAACGCATGCACAAGTGTTAATGACCTTGCATGCTATTTGTATCAACTATATAAAACCCCTTGTCGTGAATACACAGTGTGCAATGAAGTCATGTGAGAAGAATCACTGCCTAATATTTACAATTCCCGGTAACGTGATCACCAGACTATGTACACTGTTGAAGTATTTGTATACTGGAACAATGATATTGTCGAGGCTAAACAATCGTTGACTGAGACCTCATTTCCGAAACGAATACAACATAGTTTCTATTTCCTTATTTAGCGTAGCGTCGTTCTCTGAAAGGACATTGTAGCATTGTTTCCATATACATGTAAAAATGGCATTTCGTTAAATCTACACAAACTAATTACATATTACAATTTACACAGGTCACAGTTTCACGAAAGTTGTCCACAAAATCGATGTCGATTTCGGCTACGCTGTAAGCATATGTACAATCGTTGTTATATATGTACCGAAATGACTCGATTCATCCATACTTACCAACCTAAAGAAAGTATTTAGAAATATAGGAACCTTCTTTCACTTTAGATTTCCTGGTGTCATTCTGATATCGGTAATGTATTTTGTTGTATGATGCCTTAATTGATATCTTGGTAGGCCTCTTTTCTCACATCACTATAATTGTAACAGCAAGTTCATATCCTACATCTTTGTATCAACAAACCAGTATACATGATATTTTGCCTTTCTTAATTTCATACGTATTGTTTAAAAACGGAGAACACTGCGGCAGATAATTTTGTATCTTATGTCCAACTCATGTCCTGTAGGGGGCTTAAAACCTTTGTTCTTTAAAACACGCGTATGGTCGTCTGAAAATGTAAGCCACTTTAAATTGCTATAAATGTAAGCTAGTATTTAGTAACAAAACAAATGAAGGAAATTCAGGACAGAAAGTAACCTTCAAACACGTGGTGTTATTTGAACAACTGCTTTTAGGGCCTCATTTCTATTATCATTCACACCCTAACTAGACAAATGTGTTATATTGGATTGCATCATCATTATACACTGGGAAGTTACCTTTAAAAATGTATTATTTATAAAAGAATTGTAACAATGGTTTATGAAGTGGAACTGTCATTTGAGGGTTGAAATTGTTATCCTGATTATATGGATAGCAAAATTCCTCACCACCAGAAGACTGTGTTATATGTTAACAGAGTGTTACTATCTACACCATTTGATACTAAGAACAGACTCAGCGATCAGTTAAGTGCTACCACAGGCAACGCACTTGATTCGGTTACTGAGGAATGAAGTACAGATGACATTTTGAAATATCAAAATATAAATCATAATTCAACAAGCCTTACCCCCTCATTAGGTTTATCGGTACCTATCTGGAAACAGACATGCATACAGCTTGATTGCAACCCCTCTTAAAACAGATCATCTGTCGACGGGAAATTTAAATCAGAAACAGGCATATGACGGCAACTAACATAAAACCCTTTTCTTTTCACTTGTAGGACAATGTAGGAATGAGTATAAATCAGTTTAATTCATTTTTATTTAATTATTTGGCAATTGTAATGAATAATTTACAAGTGATCAAACTTGTATTTCGTGCTCGACCTCAAAAAGTTGAGAGATATATGAATGTACGTCATTGGTACTTATCCGGAGAGTATTAAACACGTTAGCCTTCAGTTAAAAGATTTGGACCTGAACAAGTGATATTGACCTTGGCTTTACTTCGACTTATGCATGGTAGGTTCATATCACATAATATTCACCAACACAAAAGTCTATATTAAATGTTGATTTTGTACATACAGTATAACCTTGAAGATCAATGTAAACTCGATAAAAACATAACTTAAATATACATATGTATAAAGGTGCTAACGCCATCCACCCTGGATGTAACCATACCTCCTGTGATGAATTTGTATATAAAATATCACTTGGCTCCATTCTAATTATTAAGAACAATCCACAAAGTTTACATTTATATTCTATATGACTATGTATAAATTATAGTTTCAGTAAAACAAATAAAACGTATGATTGCGATCATCTATCTAGCTATAATCGAGGTTGTACATGTACATTTATAACCAACGGCGTATGTGTATAATGAAGTATTTATTTCTCACATCTGGGATTAACAAACAACAACAATCAAATTATTTTCCTTGTCTATACACAAACAACAAAAGTGTAGTGTAAGTTTATACATATGATTAAATTTAAACATGTTAAACGATAGTAGGTCATGTATACATTCATCACACGCACTGCTCTGTCATCCTATATAATACAACTGTATCACTCCCTCTGTCAATCCCAGACACTATTATTATCATTACATAACATTGTAATACATCAACACATACAAATATTTAACATTTGGCTTTACATGGGGGCTGGCATATTTTAAGCTAACGGTAATTTAACCCACTGGGAATGACATGATATTATATGATATTATGCAATATCTATATACTGTTGCCGTCATGTCACAGAGGCTGAATTACTAGGAGTATGCATGGGGATTATAGACCGAGTATGTAAAACTGTATTCGAGCCGCGAGTCACGAGAGGTGAGCCACCCAAGAGCCGTGAGTCTCAAGAGAAAACACATGTGCCACACTCGATCCGATGAACCCGAACTCCACTAATTAGATACAACCAGACTGCCAGGTCCGACAGCTGTACAGACCAGCCCAATCGCCGTGAGTCTCAAGGGTTTCTTCGCCGTGAGTCGTTTAAACAGCCTGATTGTATACTACACATGTATACTTTTTGAATAGTTAGTAATATAACACTTGGGGCCAAAGAACGTAACAATATCCCGTAAAAGCCGAAATGGTTTTTGAGAAGTGGATAGCCCCTTAAGACCTGTTAGCTATATATCATGCCAGCTCCTAATATTATGCGTGAAGTACCTGTTGGAAGAACATTAACTCCTAAATAACTTGTTTATATAAAATATATATATATAGATGAATAAAGGCTGGTGGCTGGGGATGGTGGCGGTTCGATGAAGTTGAGCTTTCTAATGGTGATACGTCTTTCACCCAGCAAGAACATTTTAAAACTGACTTTGGTAACGCAGTTCATGTTAATTATCTTAATTGCCGCGCATTATTCCTGCAACCTGATTGACTAATATGCTGATGCTGACCAGTGGTCAATGACCTTTGCCTTATCTACATTCCTGTGCGCTGATTGGCTACATGTGCTGATCTTGGTCAATGACCTTCACCTATCACTATACTTACACTGTGGTCATGCATGGACATGCTGATCTGTATTTATACACACATGCTCTGTGGGCTGTGTAAGATGGTATTATATAATAAAATACGCAAGTCTGTGATACTAAGTTAGTAGCCTGAAGTCACTGTTCTCATTGTATGATATATACTGAAACCTAAAAATGTTGATCAAAATTATGTGTGTAAATTATTTGTAGTAAAGGGTACAGTTTGTGTATAAACTTGTTTTTGTATTTTGTGTATACAAACTCAATTTATTTTCCTTCATAACATATGTTCATATGAAGGTTCAATGGCCAGGAGTATATGATTGAGTTACATGCCACTGTTTCAATAACAATACAGTTACAACTTAAATATTGCCGATTTCTGTATATTTCCCACCTGTCTTTTCAATTATTGGATTCTTTGTTTTTCGGTGATTGAATAATCAAACTTATGTACAAGTAAGAACAGCTATATCATAAGGATTTATGACATCCGTTATTTTTTCAGTTTCCTAACCTGTCATTTTTGAGGAAGTATACATTGATATTCGCCATTCATCTTTTTCATATGAAAAGAATCCACCACACGTAATGCATATTTTAAACACTGTTGATGGTATGAANTTTCTGACAAAAGCTGATGATCTAACTGATATTTTACTTTATTGTCGATTTATAAAATACAGTTCGCCTCCTATACAATACCATCTAAGAAGAAGAGCATGTTTAGTTTCTTTAATCCTAACCTTAGCAAAATCTGTCCAACGTTTCACAACAATAGAGCGAACAACGTTTATGACTGTTTTTCATTAAAAATGTCTGACAATCCGCACCTTATAACGAATACATGAGAGAAACATGTGTGATGATATTTCCAGATCCTAGAACTATCTGCCCCTCCGTATTCATTGAAGCCGTTTCAACTGTACGTTTTACTAAACGTTCATACTTAGTTGATGTCGATGTCTCCTCCAAGGTTCCTAGGTATTCTCCTAGTCGTGTGATTGACAGTGTCCCAGCTCCTCCTTGAACAACGTAGAACGATCTAACGAGGTTACTTGTAAAAGCATGTACATGCCACAGTGATCCTCCTCCTAGTGAAGAAAACGTCCTCAACATATTTCCTCCTTTATCCAAAACAAACAAACATATCAAACCGAAATCTGACACTAATAAAAGTCCATTCATGTTAATGGTTACCTTTACCGGATATCCGAAATAATTTCCTTTGTTCACAATTGTCCCGGTTTCGTTTGGCGTTTCGCCTTTGAATCGCACCAGACAACTGTCCTTTGAAGGCTCTTCCATCACATGCCCCACAGGCTGAGACGTCATACAGACTATCAGGGTGCCGTCGTCTGGGGAAACGGCAACTCCTCGTGGATACAATTTCGTGAAAGAGCGCAGAACTGTCATCTAAACGAATGGACATAAACATTTGTTTTCAAGATGACAAAATCACATTTAAGATCTGCAAGGAAACAGTGGGATTTTATCCTTGTTCGTACACAATTAAGTATACCCCTAGTGGCTGTATGCAGTAGGAACATGCTACAGTGTCATCATAAAAGGAAGCAATCTCTTGCAGGTTTTACTCTAGGTATGTACAATTAGTTTCAATGGCTACTTGATTTAAGTTTTACACCTGACATTTTAATTTTACGGCGGGTGCCTAAGGTAGGTTTGACTCTAAACAACGGGTATGCTATAGTTACAGAGAGGGGTGTCTTCACCCCCAAAAATACCAGGTAGTTACATATTTATAAACAATGTAGATAGTTTGTAGTTATAGAGAGGTGATAACCTCGTATCATACACCTACCTAAATGGTATGTAAGATTTTAACAATACCGTTACAGGAGCATAACTATTTCCTTAAAAAANACAGTGATCCTCCTCCTAGTGAAGAAAACGTCCTCAACATATTTCCCCCCTGATCCAAAACAAACAAACATCTCAAACCGAAATCTGACACTAATAAAAGTCCATTCATGTTAATGGTTACCTTTACCGGATATCCGAAATAATTTCCTTTGTTCACAATTGTTCCGGTTTCGTTTGGAGTTTCGCCTTTGAATCGCATCAGACAACTGTCCTTTGAAGGCTCTTCCATCACATGCCCAACAGGCTGAGACGTCATACAGACTATCAGGGTGCCGTCGTCCGGGGAAACGGCAACTCCTCGTGGATACAATTTCGTGAAAGACCGCAGAACTGTCATCTAAACGAATGGACATAAACATTTGTTTTCAAGATGACAAAATCACAATTAAGATCTGCAAGGAAACAGTGGGATTTTATCCTTGTTACACAATTAAGTATACCCCTAGTGGCTGTATGCAGTAGGAACATGCTACAGTGTCATCATAAAAGGAAGCAATCTCTTGCAGGTTTTACTCTAGGTATGTACAATTAGTTTCAATGGCTACTTGATTTAAGTTTTACACCTGACATTTTAATTTTACGGCGGGTGCCTAAGGTAGGTTTGACTTTAAACAACGGGTATGATATAGTTGCAGAGAGGGGTGTCTTCACCCCCAAAAATATCAGGTAGTTACATATTTATAGACAATGTAGATAGTTTGTAGTTATAGAGAGGTGATGACCTCGTATCATACACCTACCTAAATGATATGTAAGATTTTAACAATACCGTTACAAGAGCATAGCTATTTCCTTAAAATAGAACAGATTGTATAGGTTTAACTTAAATTTGATATGTAAATTGCTTCTACATTGCAACAGTTAAAACGGAAGTCAAACGTTCATGAATGTAAATTGAGACATACACATTCAAGTTTGTTGCTTCCTATTTTCAATAAAAAAAAGTATTACTACAATATACTACAATGATTTCCTGGTACTTGCAATGACGAAAATTCAAGGTTATTGCGATATAGTTCATTTTCCGAGTGTCAGGCCTAAAACACCACGATTAGATCACACTTCCCATATGTAGTTGTGTTGTTTTTTGATCCGCATTGTTTGATAAAATACAGTTGTGAGATCGCACATTCGATGCTCACACGAAGTGTTCACGGTCTGTGCACGGTCTGTGCACGATCTGTGCAACGATGTTTGCACGATGTGCGAACGATAGACGACGTTGTGCGATAACAATCGTGGTTGGTGTAAATTTAGGA